TGGAGAAACAGCAGGTGATCCAGGTTGACTGGGTCTTAGGGAATATGGAAATGACATGAGAGAGAAGTTTGAAAACCAGGATAAGAAGTTTGTATTTGTAGGCTGGGTGCACTTTGTAATCCCAGCACTTTGGGAGGCTGAGGTAGATTGCTTGAGGTCAGGAGTTCAAGACCAGCCTGGACAATGTGACAAAACCTCATCTCTACAAAAAAAACAAAAATTAGCTGGGCATGGTGGCAAATGCCTGTGGTCTCAGCTACTCGTGAGGCTGAGGTGGGAGGATCACCTGAGCCCAGGCTGCAGTGAGTTGAAATTGAGCCACTGCACTCCAGCCTGGGTGACAGAGGAAGCCCTGTCTCCTGTGTTTGTAGACAGCATTGTGCTTTGGGAGATTTGTAGATAGCAGTGTATCAGATAGGTTAGAGGTGGGAGGGAGGGTACAGATATCCTGTGGTGAGGGAGATAAGACAGCTGCTGAGCTTGAGGCCAGGAGGGGGGTAGCACCAGCCTTTTGGTGGTGGTGTCATGGTGTAGGGCTAGGTGGCAGGCTGTCAAGCCCTGTCTCTGGGTACAAGCATGTGTACTTGAGTGTGTGTGCCTGTGAAAGTGTGACTGTGTTTGTGCATAAGCTGAGGGATGAGGCAGCATCAGGCCTGGGCTTCTGGAGTGTGAGATGCTTGACCTTGACCACCTTTGGCCATGGCCCTGATAGAAAGGCAGTAATTGAGTAATAATGTCAGAGGCTCATGGTTTCTCATGCTCTGGCATCTCTTGTCCCTTGTCCCCTCCCACAACCCTTCTAGCCCCTTTTGTCCTGTCTGGAGTGATGAGAGGGGATTGGGAGTTCTTCCTTTGGTCACCAATGCTTGGTGTGTGAGGGAGGCTTCAGGTTAGGACAGGGGTGAGGCCTGTTGCATTGCTCTTTGACCTCGGACATCCACAGAGTTTGGGCCACTCATTTGAAAACCTCCCTGCAAGGAGGTGATGTTTAGCTAAACAGGATATGATGAGCCTGGAATGTGGGAGCAGTCTGTCACCCCAGTATGCTTGTCCTGATGTGGGAGGGTAGGCTGACAGTGTGGAAATGGATCCCTCTAGAAATGATACTTGGTACATAGATATTTGGTAAAGCCAGGGCAAGTGCCTTGGCATTGGGAGCTGGGACACAGCCCTTGCTTGGTTGAGCAGGGCTCCTAGAAAGCCTGACTGGGCAGGTCTGCAGGCTCTCTTGCTCCTATGTAGGTAGGTCCTTTGATCTGCTTATTTCACCAACTACTTGCAGTTTGCAAAGCCCTGGGATAAGGCTGGAAGAGCTCCCTGGGTCACTCATGCAGACATTATCTTCAAAACCTCTTTCTTTTCCCCCTTATTTATTTATTTGAGATGGAGGCTCACCCTGTTGCCCAGGCTGGAGTGCAGTGGTGTTCACTGCAACCTCCGCTTCCCGGGTTCAAGTGATTCTCCTGCCTCAGCCTCTGGAGTAGCTGGGATTACAGGTGTGCGCCACCACGCCTGGCCAATTTTTGTATTTTTAGTCGAGACAGGGTTTCACCATGTTGGCCAGGCTGGTCTCGAACTCCTGACCTCAGGTGATCTGCCTGGCTCAGCCTCCCAAAGTGTTGGGATTACAAGTATGAGCCACTGTGCCGGGCCTTCTCTTTCCTCTTTCATATCCATCAGTTTCTGTCTGGACTTTACTCCACCAAACCAGAAGCGAAACTCCCCTCCATCAGTTTCTAAAAGAAAATGTCATTGAATTCCTGGAGAAATGGAAATGCCAAGTGGGAGGGAGGATGTGATCTGGTCATATTGGTAGCTGGATGGGGAAGGGTCTGCAGAGCAGACTCAGTGACTTTCTCACTCTTGTGTACAACTCTGTTCCCTTGGATTCTAACACATGGAATGCATGGAAGACCCAGAGATGTGGACCCCTCTGGAGGAAGCACATGCTAGCTACAGGTTTACTGACCTGCAGTGTGGATGGATTGGGATTTTGTGGGGGAGGTAGTGGAAGTAGGGGATGGGTGAGAGGATCCCATCGCTGACTTGCGCGTGCAAGGCACTGCTTTGGGGGTGAATCCCCAAGCACTGAGGGGCCTTGGGGGTTTTCAGGAATTTGCCACCTTAACCCGGGAGCTGAGCATGTGTCGGGAACAGCTTCTAGAGCGGGAGGAAGAGATATCAGAGTTGAAAGCAGAACGGAATAACACACGGGTAAGTGGGGATGACCTTGTTTGTTTGTGTGTGTGTGTGCGTGTGTGTGTGCATGTATGGGGGTGTGTTGTGAACACCTTGACCAAGAGAGCAGGCAAGAGTGGGGCCAGGCACAGTCCTAGCTCAAGCCCCATCCTTCCCTCCTCCTGTCTCCCATCCTGGGGTGAGAGTACCTCATTTAACCACCAATGCTGGGCTCTTCACCTGTAGTTGCTGGTTCACAGAAAGCTCAGGGTGCTGGGGAGAGGCCGGGGCAGCCAGCTTGGGTAGTGTCAGCTGGGGCAGCAGCTCTGTGCCCATTTGGAAGTATTTCAGTGTTTTCACAGTGGGAAGGCTGTACTCATGTCTGTTTGAGGACCACGTGGACCCTGCTTGTAGCCCCTGGGGCACATGCTTACAGCCCTCCCTCTCACCCTCCCTTGCTCCCTGCCAGCTGCTTCTGGAACATCTGGAGTGCCTGGTGTCCCGCCATGAACGGTCACTGCGGATGACTGTGGTGAAGCGCCAGGCCCAGTCACCTTCGGGAGTCTCCAGTGAGGTGGAGGTGCTGAAGGCCCTCAAGTCACTGTTTGAGCACCACAAGGCCCTGGATGAGAAGGTGCCTACCTGCCTGCCAGCCCCCACATCCAGCTAGGCTGCCCTGGAGCCTCCCATGTATCCCTTCTGCAGCTGGTATTTAGGGAATACTGGCTCCCTCCAAACATTGTCTTAACTTCAAGGTCCTCCTTTTAGGCTCCCTCCTGCAAATGTGCTTCTTAGTAGGCCCTTCACTGCCCTTGTGCTCGGTGATGGTAGACCAAGCCCAGGCTTTTCCAGCCTGACTCAAGTGGGGTCCCCCTTTCTTCCTCCATCTCCCCTTACCTCGAGCAGGTGCGAGAGCGGCTCCGGGCAGCGCTGGAGCGAGTCACCACCTTGGAGGAGCAGCTGGCAGGTGCCCACCAGCAGGTAAGCTGCCTGCTCACTCTCTGCAGCTCCTGGAAGTCCAGGCTGGTTCACCCCTGTGCCCTATTCTGTTTCTCACTGGATTTCTCCCTGCCATGGCTGGAAGCTGCTAGGCAAGGCTAGGCTCAGCACCTCTTTATAGGAGACACTTTTTAACTAAATCAGGGGCTTTGGAAGGGTCTGGAATGTATGGGAGGTTCTCTTCTCTTTGACTCATTGCCCTGGGACCTGTGCCCTACAGGTGTCTGCCCTGCAGCAGGGGGCAGGGGTGCTGGATGGAGCAGCAGAAGAGGAGGGGACTGTGGAGCTGGGGCCAAAACGCCTGTGGAAGGTAGGTCATGGGGAACTGTGTGGCCGGGATCATGTGTTCCCCAAGGTGGGAGGTTGGAGGCCCCGCCCTGCCTTAGTTCAGTAGACCAACTGCTTGAATTAAATTTGGGGCTTTCTCCAATATTTCCCCTTCTCCTTTCTTCTTCTCCCTACCCCGTTTGCAATGAAATCTGTAGATTTTTATTTTAGTGCCCAACACATGCTGGGCACATTGTACGCTTGAATCTACTTGAGTTGTTAGTAGATTTGTGTGACTTGTGTTAGTATTTTTGTGTGACATTTGACTTGTGTGGCAGCATCAGGCAAGATTCCTTCTCTCTCTGAGCCTTTGTTTCCCCAGTCATGCCCCTTTCTGGGTTACAAGAGGCTGGCATAACAGATAAAACTAGAAACTTGTTTTTCTTTTTTTTTTTTTTTGGAGTGCAGTGGCGCGATCCTGGCTCACTGCAAGCTCCGCCTCCTGGGTTCACGCCATTCTCCTGCCTCAGCCTCCCGAGTAGCTGGAACTACAGGCGCCCGCCACCGCACCCGGCTCATTTTTTGTATTTTTAGTAGAGACGGGGTTTCACCATGGTCTCGATCTCCTGACCTTGTGATCCGCCCACCTCGGCCTCCCAAAGTGCTGGGATTACAGGCGTGAGCCACCGCGCCCGGCCGAAACTTGTTTTTCAAGAGAGACACAGGATAGCAACGTGTTTGGTCATTGTCAGGAGTGACCTCCTGGGGCCCAGAGGGAGGCAGTTGTAGCCAGAGGAGTGCTGTGATGTTGGGGACAGAGCTGTGACCTGCTCTGGGTGTACTGTTCCTCCTCCCATCCCCTGGGATAGGGGAGTGGGGTGGGTGGGATGCTTCTGTGACTCACAGAGCTCTCTGTCCCTATCCCTGGAGGAGGATGCGGGCCGGGTGGAGGAGCTACAGGAGCTCCTAGAGAAGCAGAACTTTGAGTTGAGCCAGGCCCGGGAGCGACTGGTCACCCTGACAGCAACCGTGACTGAACTCGAGGAGGACCTGGGCACGGCCCGCCGGGACCTCATCAAGTCGGAGGAGCTGAGCAGCAAGCATCAGCGGGACCTCCGGGAGGTGTGTGAGGGCGAAAGCCTGCTCCATGACCTCATTGTGGAGGGTGTGGAGGGAGAGCCAGGCAAGGGCTCTGGGGCATGAGACTGAACACCTGCCTACTTGCCTTGCTCCATTGTGGGGGGCAGTCATGGAAAGAGTGGGCCAAGGCCAGAAACTGACAGGGGAGTGTAGCTCATGCCCCTTAATGGGTTCCAGTCAGCCAGGTATGGGTGGGGAGGCATAGACAGGGGCAGGGAAAGGCTGGTGACCGTCCCTCTCTTCCCGTCTTCTCCCAGGCTCTGGCCCAGAAGGAGGACATGGAAGAGCGGATTACTACACTGGAGAAGCGCTACCTGGCTGCTCAGCGTGAGGCAACATCCATCCATGACCTCAATGACAAGCTAGAGAATGAGTTGGCCAACAAGGAGTCCCTGCACCGCCAGGTACCTCCTCGGGGTGTGGTGGGCATAGGCATTGTACTTAGCCCTGGAGGTGTCCTCGTGAACCTACTGGTGGTAGCTGAGGAGCCCCTGGGGTCCTGCAGGTCACCCTTTGAAAGGGGAAGTCAGGCATCTCGGGCAGCCAACAACCAAGATTGTCCCTTGCTGCTTCTGACCTGTCATCTACTCTCTGCTGAGGCTGGGGTGGGGGTGGGGGCTTCAGAGCTCCCTTTTGAATCACTTCACCGCCCCCACATGCTAGTGTGAGGAGAAGGCCCGACACCTGCAGGAGCTGCTGGAGGTGGCAGAGCAGAAGCTGCAGCAGACGATGCGCAAGGCAGAGACGCTGCCAGAGGTGGAGGCTGAGCTGGCCCAGAGAATTGCAGCCCTCACCAAGGCAAGTGGGCCAGGGGCCTGGGATCTGCCTCTGTCCTCCATGTTCTGAGCTCTCAGGGAGCCAGGCAGGGAAGGGAGTGCGCAGGAGGCGCACTGGGCCAGGAGCCAGAAAACTGCTTCCCGCCGTGTGATTCCAGGGAGCACACTGCCTTGTGCCTGTCAGTTGGAAGAGTAATCCCTGTCCTCATCACCCTGCAGGGATGTGACAATCTCATAAGAAGGGGTATAAAAGTACTTGAAGGAGAAGAAACTATGTTGATACAAAGTGTTTTTTTTTTTAAAACCTCTACACCGTTGTGGTGAATACTTTCTTTCACTTGGGGCTGGAGTAGAAAGATTAGGAATTTCATCTCTGGAAGGATGAAACCCTAGAAGAGATATGGTATATATATCCCTGAAGGGGAAAAGGATGAGAGTTAGGTTGAGTACATCTTTCATTGCCAAATTGAAGCTTCTAGATCTAGGGACTGCTCCTGGTTGTTTGAAGCCTGCAGTTTTAGGATGAAGAAAAGATAATATAATTTTATTTAATGGATACTTTATGAAGTAGTAATTCCTGACTGAAAACATAATAGGTTCCGGAAGAGTCAGGTAAATGCATGGATGTAGACATGCAGGGGTTAATCAAAATAATTTAGGAGTGTTTTCAGCTGGTTAGTCTCATATGGGATCTTCGAACCTGTGACGAGAAGGAAACCGGTGTTTAGGAAGCACCAGGCACAGTGCTCAGAAGGGAGAGGCTGGCCAGCCAGTGTGCAGCTCAGCTGCTTCAAGGACGGAACCCGCAGCCTGGCTGTGTCCCAGCAGACCCAGGACCAAGACTGCTTCTGCCACTGACTGTCTCTGTGACCTGGGAAAAGTCATCCCCTCCCTTAACTGGGCCTCAGTGTCCTTACCACTATGGTGGAGTTAGACGGGATGGTCTTGGAGGTCTTTCCAGCCTCCAGGAATGAAGGATTGGGTTGAAATCACAGCAGAGGATGTTATGTGTGGGCTGCTTAGCAGTCAGCTTTAGTATCTCCCAAAGCTGACATGAAGGCCTGGGCTGAAATGATTAATACAGTCAAGTGAGTCATCGCAGGAGGAGTTTAAAGAAGGATTTCCTGACTGTAAGAGATGTGGCTCTCTAGAATATCTTGCCAGCAGAGACAGTAGGGTCTCCATCTGTGGACACCCATAACTGGAAAGGGAGATTACTACACCTGGGCTGGTTTAACAGCAGAGCTGTAACCATGCAAGGCTAACATTTGTTGAGTGCTTACTATGTTCTCAGTGTTCGCCTTGGATTATTTCATTTAGTCTTCGTGATGGTCCAGTGGGCTTGGGTGCTATTATTACCCACATTTTACAGTTGTGGAAACGAAGGCACATAGAGGTTTGGTAACTTGCGCAAGGTCACACAGATGGTAAGAGGGAGCCAGGATTTGAACCCAGGCAGTGTGGCACGAGTCCATGCTCTTCAGTGTGGTTCTATCCATCTGGAGGGATAGAGGTTTATGGTAGCTCATGCTTTCAAGTGGAGCTTTTTCTGGAAGCATGGGGATTATTCACAGTCTCTTGAACTGCTAGCTCCAGGATGTTTTAGGGCTAGGCCTGAGTGAGGAGGAGGCAGGGGAGACCTGGCAGGTATTGAAGTACCTGGGAAGAAAGGCAATGGGGATGGTGGTCCTGCTCCAAGTTGATAAGTGGAGGCTGAACTTCATTGATACCGGGGGCCATGATCCCCAGGGCCACCCTGGCACCAGGGTGCAGGGGATATGGGGCCTGAGCAGGAGGAACAGAGATCTGCGGGCTGCACCGACCCATCCCTGCCCCTAGGCTGAAGAACGGCATGGCAACATTGAGGAGCACCTGCGGCAGCTGGAGGGACAGCTGGAGGAGAAGAACCAGGAGCTGGCACGGGTGAGGGCACCCGGCTGGGCCCTCAGGTCCCCTCCTTCCCCCAGGACAGGCTCCCAGGGCGGTCTGTGGAAGGGGCATGGAGGAAGGGCCTGGCCAGGGACACAGTCACAGAGAGTGGGAGGAGGCTGGCAGGTGAGGGGGGAGGCGGTCAGGAGAGTGGAGAGAGGGGCTGCCAGAGGATGAGAAGAGGACAGGGGAGGGAGTCGAACCCCAGTGGGAAAAGGTGGTCCTCCCTGGGAGGGTGGCCTGGTGCGAGGCAGGTGGCTGTGCAGGTGCGCCAGCGGGAAAAGATGAACGAGGACCACAACAAGCGGCTGTCGGACACAGTGGACCGGCTGCTCAGCGAGTCCAATGAGCGTCTACAGCTCCACCTGAAGGAGCGCATGGCAGCCCTGGAGGAGAAGGTGTCTGGAGGGGCGGGGGTGGGATGTGAGAGGTTAGTGCTGGGTGTGGCGGGGGATGGGGGGAGGTGGGACTGCGATGGGCACAGGCAGGATCTCACTGGGGTGGGTAGCCAGCCTGGAGAGGAGGGACTGAGACTGCACACCCGGAGGCTCAGGTCTGGATTGGGAGAGGAAGGCAGGGGCCTGGCTCACGGCTGCTCTCCCCCAGAACACGTTGATCCAGGAGTTGGAGAGCTCCCAGCGGCAGATTGAGGAGCAGCACCACCACAAGGTACCCGGCTGAGGCCAGCCCTGCCCAGCCTGGGAGGGCCGGGTTGCAGGGAGGAAAGGACACCCTGCTTTTAACGCTGCTGCTCTGATACCCGGCAGTGTTAGTGCCTATGTTAGTGCACTACATACGTTATTCCGTGATTTCTTATTAGAGCCCATCATAGTAGGTGCATCACTGCCCACAGGTAAAGAAGAAACTGAGGCCAGAAGCGTAGGGCAGAGGTGGACAGCAGAGAGGCAGGGCCCAGTGAGGGGCTCCACCGCAGGATTTGGAGGGAGCTTCAAACCCTGGTGCAGCCAGAGCCTGGTGATTCTGGGAGGATTTGCCTCTGTCCTGGCTTTGGCAGTGTCTGTGAGGTCTGAGAGGGCGCTGGGGCCCTCTTGCTGCCCAGCCTCATCTGCTGTGCGTTTGTGCAGTAGTGAGGCGTCAGGAGGCCTAGGCTAGCAGAGCTCTCCCCAGACAGACCCCCTCCTGGCCCTGCCCCTCTGCCCATCCTTCCACTCACTCTCCGGTTGGACCTCTTCTCTTTTGGTGTCATCTGTGGGCCTGGCTTGGGGCCCCTGGCTTTGGACTTTGCAATACATTCTTCAGCATCTCCCCAACTCTGCTGTCCTCTTTGTCCCTCTCTGACTCCCGCCCTCCCTCTCTGCCCCTCCCTGGCCCCCACCCCCACCCCGGGTCTGCTGGCACAGGGCCGCCTGTCTGAAGAGATTGAGAAGCTGCGCCAAGAGGTGGACCAGCTGAAGGGCCGAGGGGGCCCGTTTGTGGATGGCGTGCACTCCAGGTACTGCAGCGCCGGAGGCTGGGCATGCCAGGATGGGGTCCTGTCGGACCCTGGGGAAGGAGACTTCCTTCCAACAAAAGACTGCCCAGGACCTCAGGGTCCTCCTCCTGTTCAGGGTGGGACACTGAGGCTCAGAGAACTTGGTCAAAGTCACCCAGCTTACTTGGGCAGTTTGGGAGGGAACACCTGTCCTCCGAGGGCTGCTGAGAGGCGAGTCATCAGACAGTCAGTGCTCTGTCCCCGCTGTGGTAGGACATAGGCCATGGTTTCTGCTTCCTTGACAGAGGGCACACCCCTGAGAGAGGCCTGCACATCCCTTGCTTAGCCCTGTCCCACAAGGCCCACTGGTAGGGAGGGCCTCTCATTCCAGTTCTCTTGAGAGTCAAGGACCACCCAAGTTCAGGCAGCAGGCAGAAAGGCAGCAGGAGAGATTGGAATGAAGCATCAGAAACTTCCTTACTGGAAGTTGAGATGCCGTGGCGATCCTACGGTCTTGGCATCCCTTTTCTTGAAACCATTGTAAGAGAGGGAGCTTACCTCCTAATGCTTGAATTAGGCCCATGTTTAGGGAACCTCTGGATTTTCCCCCACATTTTGTGGAGCAATGGGTATTGAACTCAGACTTCGAGCCTGTCCTCAGTACCCAGGCCAGAGAGGTGGGGTGAAGACAGAGGAGACTGAAGTGGATGGTGCCACTCAAGGTTCGTGGCTCTTGGCTGTTTTCTCTCCAAACCAAAGTCTCTTAGATCAGAACCCTTGCCGTTCCCTTTGATCATGTGCTTGCTCTATCAGGGAAATGGGATGAACTACCGTGAAGAAAGGTTAATGGAAATATGCATATGGATGTGTGTGGAGGGGCAGTGCTTGAAATAGGGAAGGGGATGTTGAGCTTGAAGAAGAGAAGCCTGCGGGTGTCTGGGTTGGGAGAGACTTTAAGTACCATCTCCATGTTCACCAGGAATTATTGTATATGGGTATGAAGAGAAGCAGAGGATGGAGACAGGTAACAGTAGTTGGGATTTCTCCTACTTCTCCCATCCTGACCAGAAGAGACAACCCCTCAATTAGTAAAATATGGCCAACAGTACACCAAGCCATTTGCCACTGCTTGGCTTTTTTTTTTAATGGTTGGGAATGCTTAGGTTCGACTATAGAATCATTGGATACATCATGGAATTGGGGCTGAGTTGCAGGGAGAAAAGGGGAATATGCAGGAACTTCCCTCTCCATCCAGCGACCTCATATAGTCTGTATAGACACTGTGTCCCTTCATTCTGGACTCCCTCAAGGGTTCCAAGTAGAAAGGCACAGGGAAGAAGTATCACTGGGGAGGCTTTCAGATATTCCAGGGGATTGTTGCTTGGGTTCTAAAGTCTCAGGGTTGGAATAGACTCTTGGGGCAGTCAAAGTATTTTCTCTAGCTTGTGTTTCTGACAGTGTCAGGGCCTCCTAAAGCTTCCTAGGCATAAGGGTATGCCTGGCTTGAATTTTAACCAGGGACTTGGTCCAGATTATGGGGAGACCCAAGGAAAAGTGCTGGATAGAAGACCAAAAAACAAACACCCTCAGAGTGAAAAGGGCCTGTAGACATCATCCCTTCCAACCTCTCCCAGTGCCTGGAGCCCTCCTGCGCCATGTGTTTCAGATGGCCAGAGAGCCTCTGCTCGAATACCTCTTTGATGGGGAGCTCAACTTTTTAAAAGCCACCAGTTACATCATAAGCCAACCCTTGCCATTAGAAGATCTTTCTTATGCCAGATGGAAAGCCACTCTCTGGAACTTTCTCCCCTGGCTCATTCTGACCCCTGGAGCACCAGGGCATACGTCTACTCTTTTGCTTACACGGCAGCCTTTCAGACATTTATGACAGCTCCGTGTCCTGCTAAGACGTCTCTTCTCTGAGCTGAAGATCCCTTGACTCTTTGGGCCCACTGGGTGTGAGCTGGGGCTCTCAGTCCTCAGCGCCTGTCTTTTCTCTCCCCCATCACCGCTCAAGGTCGCACATGGGCAGTGCAGCAGACGTGCGGTTCTCCCTGGGCACAACCACACACGCACCCCCAGGCGTGCATCGCCGCTACTCAGCATTGAGGGAAGAGTCTGCCAAGGTGAGGGGGTGGAGGGATCTCCTCAGGGAGTTTGGGGTCAATTCGGCCGCGTGCCTGGCTCCAGTTACGCAGACGGCTGGTGTGTGGGGCAAATCCTTCCCCTTCCCTCCCCTGTGTCAACGACAGCTGCAGCCCTGGGGTTGAGGCCATCGTCAGCTGCAACAGCTGTGCCCCCCCCTTGCCTTGGCCTCCTGGTGGGCAAGAGGTGGGGGCTGGCAGGCAGCCAACAGTCCCTGAGGCCCCACTGAAGTGTGTGTGCGTGTGCCTGGGCGTGCAGGCGTGTGTATCTGGTGGTCGGGCGTGGGGGCCGGGGGGATGCTTCATGGTTAAGATGGAATTGGCAAACTTTCTGGAACAAAAGCTGTGGTTCATGGGGGAGATGAGGGAGGGATGACAGGTTAACTGGCCCTTGGGATGGCACCTGGAGTTTTCCGAGAAGCAGCTGTGCGTTCATGCTGTCTGAGTCTGCCTAGGGAGATTAGGGGAGAATGAGGAAAGATATGGGGCAGAAAAATGCCGAGTTCGATCTTTTGGGAAAGTGCAATTATTCGTCATGTTCTGTCCTGAGTCCAGGTCCTCTAAATATCATTTAGAGCACTGGGGCATTAGAAGATAGAGATGGAGAAAGAGGGAACTCCTAGTCTCAGGGGAAGATTCATTCTGCTCTTAAGAAACTCCTAGTCTGATGGGGGAGTCACAATCTGAAGGCGCCTCTTTTTCTTTCTCCCCTGACTTCTTTACTCTTTCTGTTTATAAGAACATAGCAGCTGTCCAGGAGCTGAGAGGCTGCAGGAGCCTTGAGGGGGAGCTAGGAGGCTTGGGTCATAGAGGATGGGTGTTAGAATACCTTTCTGTCCCTGGCCCCCTTTCTTCCTTCTCTGCTCTTCTGGCTCTCCCAGCCCAGTTCTCTGCCCTCCCCTCTTCTGGGCCTTTGCCCGCTGGATAGGTGTGTAGGATGATTTCAGAGAAGCTGCCACCTCTCGGGGTTGGCCGGACTGTCCTGTGATGAGCTGAAACTCTGCAGAATGTCTAGTCAGGCCTGCTTGGCCTTTCTGGCTCCCTAAGTGTAGTCAGCCTTTGAGTTTGTGTGAATGGAAAGTGATAGCTTTTATATAGTGCTTGCTTTGTGCCAGGCACTGTGCTAAGGGCTTTACATGTATTTTCCTCATTTGATCCTCACAGCTATCTATAAGGTAAGTACCTTACCATCCCCATTTTACAAATGAAGAAACTGAGGTACAGAGAGGTTAAACAATTTTCCTGTGGTTGCACAACTAGTATTTGGTGGAGCTAAGATTCACACCAAAGCAGTCTGTGTCTGGACTCTCTTCTTAACAGTTAGAGCAGTATTTCTTTTTTTTTTTTTTTGAGACGCGCCCAGGCTGGAGTACAGTGGCCGGATCTCAGCTCACTGCAAGCTCCGCCTCTCGGGTTTACACCATTCTCCTGCCTCAGCCTCCCGAGTAGCTGGGACTACAGGCACCCGCCACCTCGCCCGGCTAGTTTTTTGTATCTTTTAGTAGAGATGGGGTTTCACCGTGTTCGCCAGGATGGTCTCGATCTCCTGACCTCGTGATCCGCCCATCTCGGCCTCCCAAAGTGCTGGGATTACAGGCTTGAGCCACCTCGCCCGGCTAGTTTTTTGTATCTTTTAGTAGAGATGGGGTTTCACCGTGTTCGCCAGGATGGTCTCGATCTCCTGACCTCGTGATCCGCCCATCTCGGCCTCCCAAAGTGCTGGGATTACAGGCTTGAGCCACCGCGCCCGGCCAGGAGCAGTATTTCTTAGAATATAATGTGCAAACAAATCACCCAGGGGTCAGCTGGGCGTGGTGGCTCACGCCTGTAATCCCAGCACTTTGGGAGGCCGAGGTGGGCAGAGTGCCTGAGCTCAGGAGTTCGTGACCAACTTGGGCAACATGGTGAAACCCCATCTCTACTAAAACACAAAAAATTAGCTGGGCGTGGTAGCATGGTGGCATGTGCCTGTAATCCCAGCTACTCAGGAGTTTGAGGCAGGAGAATTGCTTGAACCCGGGAGGCGGAGGTTGCAGTGAGCCGAGATCGAGATCGCGAAACTGCACTCCAGCCTGGGTGACAGAGCAAGACTCCATCTCAAGAAACAGACAAACAAAAACAAAAAACAAAAAACCACCCAGGGGTCTTGTTAAAATGCAGAAGTTGAATTGGTAGGTCTGGTGGTATGGCCTGAGATTCTGCATTTCCAACAAGCTCCCAGGAGATGCCAGTGCTGCTGGGTAGAGGTAGGGAGGGTCCTGCTCTGCAGTTATCTGGGTGTCTTATTACGACTCCTTTACCCTCCTCCTTTGCTAAGGACTGGGAGACTTCTCCGTTGCCTGGGATGCTGGCCCCGGCAGCCGCCCCTGCCTTTGACAGTGACCCTGAGATCTCCGACGCAGATGAGGATGAGCCAGGGGGTCTGGTGGGCTCTGCGGACGTTGTCTCCCCCAGCGGCCACTCAGATGCCCAGACCCTGGCCATGATGCTGCAGGAGCAGCTGGATGCCATCAATGAGGAAATCAGGTTAGGGCACAGCTGGAGGGCTTGGGGAGTGCCTCGAAGGGCAGGGGGGGCCCTTTGTGTTGGAAAAATCCTATATGGGTTTGCTCACCTCTTACACCTGCAACTTAGAATACCACAATTCAGGGACCCTCTGTGGGTCATCAGGCCCGCTGGCCCAGTGCCGGAGTGAGAGGAGCAGGGCCTCAGTGGACTTCTCAGGCTTCACCTCCCCTCTCAGGGCTTGCGATGTGGCTGGGCTCAGGAGGATGCACGCTGTGTTCCTGCAACCCTGCAGCTGATCATAACCACTAAGAGTGTAGCTCCTGCTTACTGAGGCCAGCTCAGGGTGAGAGCTTTGTAAATGTCACTGTCTATCTTATCACAGTCCCTGAAGTAGGCAGCATGATCCCTGTTTTACAGACAAGGGAACAGAAACTCAGAGAGGTTAAGTGACTTGCCCAAAGTCACACAGAAGTGACACAGCCAGGATTCAAACTCAAGTCTGAACTTGGTCCACTGCACCATGCTTCCTGTCCCTAATGAGGCATCAAACGGAAACAGTGACAGGGAAAGTTGTGAAAACTTTCATTCTATCGTGCCTTTTTAATGAGTTTATTAATGTTGATGACACACAGCAGGGCAATATCTGAGCTGAAGTGTATCAGAGCTTTATAAGCTGTACAGGATATCCAGTTCAATGGTTCAGTGTATTGCACAGACCAGTTACAAAGAACACACACACACACACACACACACACACACAGAGAGAGAGAGAGAAAGGTACAAACATAAGACCACCAGCTTTTTATTTTGCAAAGTAAAACATTAATTATAAGGACTGTCTATTATCACAATCACTTTGCAAAAGAAAGGACATTTTAACATTCCTGAAGTAAGAAAGACATACTCAGAATAAAGGCAAGTCCTTCTTTGTGAAAGGGAGTGGGCATCTTTACTGGAGTGTGTGAGAGTGTGTGCATGTGTATGTGCGTGCACTCGTTGCTCAGTGCCTCCCAGGCACACACGTGCACCATTTTCATTATTTCTCTCATTTTTCTGTGACACAGGGAAAACCCCGTCAGGGGTCAGCATCATTTAAAAGTCCTACACTTGGAAACTGCTGACTTATACCACTTCAGACATTGCATATGTTGGGAAACTGAGGCACAGAGAGCAAAATACCTGACTCAAGGCCACCCCTGTAGTTAGGGGTAGGTCAAGAATTCTGATTTTCAGGATGGTTTATGTTCCACTAACCAAACTGCCTCCTTCCCCAGCAGCTGCTTTTGTTAAACGGAGGGAGCAGGCAAGCTAACAAGAAGGAGACATATTTCTAAGCTCCAGCGGGACAGACAAAGCCTGCCTGCCAGGCCTTGTGTACACTGCCTGTAGTCCTCGGTGGCGAGTGCAGGCATCGGCCCGTGCTGCCTCCTGGTCCTGGCTGGGTCTCATGGTGAGGTCTGGTTTTGCCTCCCTTCCAGGATGATTCAGGAAGAGAAGGAGTCCACGGAGCTCCGGGCGGAGGAGATTGAGACACGTGTGACCAGTGGCAGCATGGAGGCCCTAAACCTGAAGCAGCTGCGCAAGCGCGGTTCCATCCCCACCTCTCTGACAGCCCTGTCCCTGGCCAGCGCGTCCCCACCACTCAGCGGCCGCTCTACACCTAAGCTCACCTCCCGCAGTGCTGCCCAGGACCTGGACCGAATGGGGGTCATGACCCTGGTGAGAGGCAGCTGAGGAGCAGGCCTGGCGTCACTGGGCCCTGCACCGGGGGAGGTTTTAAGGGATGGTAGGACTCATGTGCTCTCAGCTGGGCCTGCCGTCTTCTTCCCATGATGTGTGCAGACCCCGACATGTCAGGCCACCAACCTGTCCTGGGTTTGAGAAGGGCCTAGGTCATATCTTCTTTGCCCTCTTCCTTGGATGAGCCCAGACTGCTAAAGAAACTCACCCACTGCCCTCACCTCTTCCTTTCTTCCAGAAAAATAAGCCCTGGCTTGTTTTTCTAGGCCAGCTTTTTTTTTTTTTTTTTTTCTCTCTGCTGTGATATTCTTTCTGGGCCTGTGTGAGGCATTGAATCCTATCTTCTCATCCTAAGACTACTGGGCTCCCCTGGGGTTGGCTCTGGGGCATGGAGATGGTAAGTCCAAGCTTACCCATCCCTCTCTCTTGCAGCCCAGTGACTTAAGAAAGCATAGGAGGAAGCTGCTGGTGAGTGCTGCCTGATGGCCCAGGTACTAATGGGTTCGCTGCTCCCATGCCCTTTCCTTTCGGCTTCCTCCCCCAGGGCCCTTCAGTCTGAGTCTGAACTCAGAGAGGCACCCAGGGCCTCCCCACCGCATTTCTCCACGCTCCTCCACCTCTTCTGGGCTGGGTAGACAGGCCCGAGATCTCTCCCTCTATCCCCTGACGGCTCCACTGTCTGTTCAGTCGCCAGTGTCTCGGGAAGAGAACCGAGAGGATAAAGCCACCATAAAATGTGAGACTTCTCCTCCTTCCTCACCCAGGACGCTGCGGCTAGAGAAGCTTGGCCACCCAGCCCTGAGCCAGGAAGAAGGCAAGAGGTAAGTGGAGCAGACCCTACCTGCAGTCTCTCCATCCGCAGGGTCCTCTCCTCCCCTCCTCTGCCTCTGCAGGGACCGCATCTCCCCTGTCCCAGTTTCCTGAATGTCTTACTTCTCTTTGAAACACCATCAGGGAAGGGAGTTCCTGTGTCTCCCTTGCCCCCATCCCAGTTCTGACACTTAATAGAAGTTCTTCCTGAGGTCTAACTTCCATCTTTCCTGCTGTCACTTAAGTATGTTTCCTCTTATTCTGTCCCCTTCTGGCTGTCACCCTGTAGTGCCTTGGAGGATCAGGGCAGCAACCCCAGCAGCAGCAACAGCAGCAGCCAGGACTCCCTGCACAAGGGCGCCAAGCGCAAGGGCATCAAGTCTTCCATTGGCCGCCTGTTTGGGAAGAAGGAGAAGGGCAGGCTGATCCAGCTGAGTCGGGATGGAGCCACAGGCCATGGTCTCTGTCCCCTTCCTAACGGAGGTCTGGGCGGGCATTGGGGCATCAGAAGCAGGAAGGTGTACTTGGACTGGCCTTCTCTGCCTGCATCCCAGGGACCAGTTGGGGGAAGCCCCAGGCAGGTGACCTCAGATCCGCAGAAGTTGTTTTCGGTTAGAGCTATTCATGGTGGAGTGGACTGCCTTATGAGGGGGTAAGCTTCTACCTCTACAAGTGTCAGGAAGTGGCTAGATGGCTTTATTTGGCATGCTGTGGAAAGGTCTCCTGTACTGAGTGAAAGATTGGGCGTCTGGGGTTTCTTTCAATTTGGAGATTTTCTGATGTACTGTGCTCGGGACCTTCTGGAGAAATCTCTTGGTTGTTTCTTTAGAAGAGTCAGTTCTTGATTAGAACTTGTTTCTGGGTACATCTGGCCTCTGGGACTCAAAATGTGGTAACACCTAGTTATAGCTCTGTAGACATTAAATTCAAGGAAGCTCTTAGGCAAGCGTGACGTCGTTATCACTTCTATGATAGTATAATGGTCTAGTACATACTTGGCATGTGGTGAGTGCACAATAAATGTTAGCTTTCATCTGCCCCCTCTCTTCTATTTCTTCTTTTCTCTTTTCTTTCCTGTTCCTCCACCTTTTCTTTCTGTTTCCTATTCAGCCATTTGTTCCACAAACATTTATTGAGTAACTACTGTATGTCTTAGTAACAGGTGCTGACCAACAGTTCATTCCTTCAAGGAGTTCAGTGTCTAATGAAAAGGAAGAAGTAAAGAGACAATTCCAGAACAATCTATTGATAGAAATGTGCCCAGGGTGCTTGTGGGACTCAGAATTCGGCTATGGAATGATGGGGACAACAGGGGTGGCCTCCTTTGGTAGCGACATCTGAGCTAAAGTGTGAAGGCCACATAGGAATTAGCTGAGCCAAGGAGAGGTCTGTGTGTGGAGGAAGGGGGTGGTCTGGGAAAGGCAAAGGTTTGTGGGTGTGAGAGGTTGGTATGTACTTATGCCTGTTCAAAGTTGAGAAGAAGGAGGGTGGGAGGAGTGGGGAGATGGGACTGGACAGCTAGGCTGGGGCCAGCTGTAAGGGCCTTGCAGCATCTGTTTTAGTTTAAAAGTTCCCCTGAGGCAGTGGGAGCATTGATGAATTTTGTGCAGGGGAGGAACTCATCAACTAGAATAAATGAACCTTTGGACCCCAATGCATAATTAGACCTTTCTGCACCTCAGGAAGATGTGAATCAGAAGATAGCTAGCTGGCTGAGGAGGAGGAGGAGGGAGAGCATGAGAGAAGGAGGTCAGGGAAAGAGGAAGGAGAAAGGAATTCGCTGAGACGGGGAGAGGTCTGTGTGTGAAGGAAAGGGGTGATCTGGGAACAGGGAGGAGGAACATGGCCACGTCTGCTCACAGTATGGGAGTGTCAGCCCAGAGAATGAAGTCCAGCTCCTTTCCCCAGTCCACAGGGGTGAGGGGAGTTGTGGAGCTGGCCACAGACAGGGGAAGCTGAAAGGTTTGATCAGGGGAAGAAGCATTTTGGGTGAAACCTTATGATTTCCGACGCTCTCCACACCATGCTGGCACCTAAAACTGAGACAGCACCTCAGATTCGTTTCTGGGTTACCCACACTTGTTGCATACTGTGTACTGTATGGGGGTGACCAGGGCTTAAAAGAATTCTAAGATTCTGCCTCTGGCCATGAATTCTGTAGGGTTCTAGCATCAATTCAAGGAAATATTTAATAGAAGACAGAACTCTGCATGTTCCCCTTTATGGTTTTGTGCAAGTGAATGCACCCAGAGAAGGAGGCCCAGAGATGCAGCTCTCAGTGTGTGGATTTCCCCACCCCTGACCCAAGCCAGGGTCATCCTTCTCTCTGAGCCTTGTAGCCCACTTGTGTTTGGGGCTCTGCGTTTCCTTTGCACCTTGGCTTGGAGGAAGGACAGGTTCTGTCTAGGATTCTAGGGTGGGATAACTTGGGTCCATCTGGCTGGAAAACACCCCCAAGGCTGAGGCTCCCAGGGAGACTCTGAACTGGGGATGACCTGCTTGATGCCATTCTCTGAGACTGCCTGGATGCAGGGACACTGAGCAGAAGCTCCAGGAATAATGGTCCTGTCAGGCCATGGGTTGTCCTTTGCTGAGGAGCCTCCTGCTGCTTCTGTTCCCCACCCCTGATCCAGGCAAGGGAGGAGAGGCAGAGGGGTTGGCTGATACACGCATCTCTTTCCTTGTAGTTCTGCTAACAGACTCCGAGTTCAGTATGCAGGAGCCTATGGTGCCTGCCAAGCTGGGGACCCAGGCAGAGAAGGACCGGCGGCTAAAGAAGAAGTAAGAGCCACAGGCCAGATTCTGCCAGGATGGGGCCCAGCCCCCTACGCGCTTCCCTTCCCCTGGGCTGCTGTGAAACTGAGCTCAGGGACCCAGACCCCAGCAAGGCCCTTCCTGAACTGAGTTGGCCTGGTCCATATGAGCACAGCAGGGCTGGGAGGAGGTTCTTAGGATAAGCCTAGGGAGAAGGAGGCAAGGGGGTTATGGGAGAGTGACCTGGGTCCTGTGGGTCTCTGGCAGGGCAGATTGAAATCTAAGTCAATGTCAGGTCACATGCAAACAGAGAGCTCCTCGCCCTCTGGGGGTGGAGAGGTGTTCCTGCCCCATTTCTTGTCATACTTCTTCAGAAGAAGGAAGAGCAGAGCAGAGGAAGTCCAGGGTGGGGAGCAAGGGTTGTGGGTGTCCAGCTCTTGCACAGCCCAGTGGTCCCTGGAGCAAGAACAGTTAAGAGACAAGGAAGAACTAGTGAGTCTGTTGTTCCTCTTCCTATAAGACACCAGCTGCTTGAAGATGCCCGCAGGAAAGGAATGCCCTTTGCCCAGTGGGATGGTCCTACTGTGGTCTCCTGGTTGGAGGTAAGCCTGAGCAAAGGGAGTCCACTCAGGGGTCTGGAGGGAAGGATGTTTGGGGTGGGCAGAGGGGTGATGTCCTAGAACTTTTACAGTGTGTTTCTTCCCTGCTAAGTGCACATGTGCCATACCTAGCATTTAGCCCCCCTCCCCCACCCCAACACACACACATACCAGTCAGAGGACAGAGTTGATGCTACTTTTAATCTGTAAAATGAGAGAGTGAGGATTTGAGGACCTCCACATTCCTAAGGTCTGCATTTGCTATTCGAGTCAGTGGATGAGGCCTGGCCCTTGAGTCAGTGGATGAGGCCTGGCCCTTGCCCCTTGCTATTGCCAAACTCTTGGTGGTAGGGCCCAGGCCTTGAATTACCTCCCTGTGCCCGGTGTCTGCAGCTCTGGGTGGGGATGCCTGCCTGGTACGTGGCAGCCTGCCGGGCCAACGTCAAGAGTGGTGCCATCATGTCCGCTCTGTCGGACACAGAGATCCAGCGGGAGATCGGCATCAGCAATGCCCTGCACCGGCTCAAGCTCCGCCTGGCCATTCAGGAGATGGTGTCACTGACCAGCCCCTCTGCCCCGCCCACCTCCAGGACTGTGAGTGGCCCTTCCCTTGCCCAGGACATTTTCAGAGGTTCTGGAACAGAATTTGCAAGGTCTCCTGTTGGGCTTTGGGAAGATGGCAGCATTGAGCCCCGCCCCTTCCTTCCCATCCTCACAAAGGGCTCTCCCTGCTCTTCAGGAGGATATGACGTTGATTCTAGGAGGATCCCAGCAGCCTTGGTTCCCTGCCTCTCACATACCACCCATGGGGCTCCATCTCCCCATCCCTACTCTGCCAAAATTTCCAGGTCTCTGGGCAGTTTCCAGGATGGGCTTTCTGGGGTTTTATATGGTTGCCAGGTTGGGGGAAACAAAGGGAAGACGGCATTTGTGAATATTGTCTTGGTCCTCTAACCTCAATCAACACAAGAATGCAGACTGTTTCGCCGCCCCTGGGGTGGAATCTTTCATTATTGGCCATCTCCATGATTGGGTCAGCCCCATTCCAGGTCAGCACTGTGCATTCTTACTCATCTGGGAAACATTTATCGCGCACTTCCTGTGTGCCAGGAACTGTGCTAAGCATCGTGGATATGATGATAACAGAGATGTGGCTTCTGCTGTCCACTTGCTCAGAGCTAGGCAGTGTGCAAGCTGTGGGCTGGGGCCATTGGAGGACTCGGGGAGGGAGCTTTGTCCTTGTCCTTTGGGCTCCCAGCCTGATGGGGATCCTGGGAACCCACACCCAGGACCAGCTGGGTTTCCTCTCTGCCTACAGTCTTCTGGGAATGTCTGGGTCACCCATGAAGAGATGGAAACTCTGGAAACATCTACTAAAACAGTGAGTCTGGCCCTTGGCCTTTGGCCCTGGGCCTGGGGTTGGGACTGATGACTCCCACAAGGATGAGGGAAAGGCTGTGGGCAGTCAGAGTGGGCTGCCATCGATCTCATGTGAGGTTGGTATCCCTGAGGTGTGATCTGCTCTTAGGGTGGAGGGTTGCCGGGAGAGGGGTGAGGCTGGGAGCAGTTTGTATGTGTCCTTCCCAGGAGGTCACAAGCTTGCCCTGGGCCGCTGGTGTGCTGCAGTGGAGGAGAGTTGGGCTGGGGAGGGCTTTGCCCTGCTATGGACTTGAGCCACAGGGTCTCTGCCCTTGTGCTTCCTCCCTGGTGGAGGAATGGGGAGTGTTGGGAGAGCTGCGCATCTTGCCTGGCTCCCAGTCAAGCCTGGGAGGTGTGTGTTTTTGCCACACACACATTTGCCCTGCCTCACCGCAAACGTGGGTGCACACACCAACCTTGTGTTCTCTCTTAACCATCCCGACAGGCTTTCCCCAGTCACCCAGTCAGATACTGGGACATCTTTTTCCTCTCCTTGATGGGGTCTAGGGTAGAGCCGATAGGTTTCTTGACTTTGCCTGTTTCCCCTAACACGCTGCACTTGTTCCTGCTAGGACAGTGAGGAGGGCAGCTGGGCTCAGGTAAGACTCCCTCCCCTGTCTAGAACCAGCTCCCAAAACTTCAAGACAATGTTCTTCCAGTAGGTTCTCTCCCCAGCAGGAATCTCTGAGTCCTTCTTCACATGAAAAGCCCTGGATATGGGTTCTCTGCTCCCATCAGAGCGCCCCCCTACCCCCACCCAGTACCCTCTAGCTGCTTGTTCTGGTTTCTCAGGGTGGCAGGTGAGGAGCCCTGGAGGGCTGTGGCCCCTGCATCCCTGGCCCTTCTCCTCAGTCTCACCCTTTTCCTGGGAATAATGAGACCTAGATTAGTGTGAGTCTTTCTCCTCTCGCTGTCCCTCTCAGAGGCACTCTGGTGAACTGAGCGAAGGTCTTTCATCCATTTCATGAGCAAACATTTATTGAGCAAATATAGGGATTAGGCCTTTCCTGACTCTCTGGATATAGAAGTGAAGAAAGCAAGCCCTCATGGAGGCAGTAAACAAATAAAGGAATAATATCAGTAAACAAACCATGTCAATAGGGATAAAAAAGACAGTCTCAATAAGTAAACAAATAAAGGGACAATATTGGATAGTGATGCGAGCTGTGAAGAAGAATGAAGCAGGGAGCAGCACTTTGTATATCTGCTCAGGGAAAACCTCACGAGCAGGAGACTGGCTGAATCATTCACGCCATAAAACACCCTTGGCAGAGGTGACTGGGGGGATCTGAGACATAGGATGTTAAATGAAGAATGCAGATCCTAAAAGATGCATGGAATTTGATACCAAAACTCAAAACCAAACAAAATTAATCATATATTGTTTAGGGAAATATACATGGATGATTGTAAAAAGTGTAAAACAGTTTTTTACAAGCAAAGGAATAGTCAGAAAACTCAGCATAGTGGTTCCCTTTTAGAGGGGCAGTAGGAGACGTGTGGTGACAGCGAGCATCAGTGTGCAAACAGTACAGTGTGGGTAATGCTCTGCTGCTTAGCTTGGTTGGTGTCCACTGTTGCTAACTTCATTTATATGCTTCATAATGAGCATTTTACATATAGTCTTGTGTGTATCAGCTATTACATTGTTAAAAGAGAACAAAATAGACTTTTTCCATCTAAAAACATCAAGTAAGGATAAGGAAAGAGTCGGGTAGGGTTGCTGTGAAAACTGAAGCTTTCTCAAGATGGGTGGTTAGGGAACACCCTGCCCAGGTCAGGAGGCGACGTCCACATGGCACAGGCCCTGCAGGACCACACGGCGGGGTGTGTGTGGGAAAGCAACAGAGGACCTGGAGCATTCTCGGAGCAGAGGCTCAGGCCTTAGAGAATGAGCGCTGCTGGCTATTCAGACACAGGCCATCATCCTTTATTTTTTTCAATCTTCTGCCAACATTTAACTTCCTTGCTTCCTTCATAAAACCAGCCTTGTCCCGGAGTGAGACAGGCTTCCTTTGCCACGCTGCAGGTCCTCTGTAACACAGCCTCTCCCTTGGGCTCAGCGGGCTTGAGGCTCACTGAGAGTCAGGAAGGCACGTCTGCCGCACAATACCGCAAATGCAATCCAGAGTCAACAGGAAGGATTTCATATTAGCTGCTGCCGGGATAGCTACTTCTGTTCATTAGTGTAGATAATTGATATGTGAGTGGAACTGTATCATTTCGAGATCTTATAAAGTTCCATTTAAAATCCCCACCTCCCGCCACTACCAGCCCCGTTACTGAAGATAAAACTGAAATTGTATTGGAATGCCCTTCCTCCCTCATGGGTGGAGGATGGATTCATGCATCTCCCAACCAGCTATACCAGCCTCAGCCTGCCGGCTCTACCTTCCTCCCCCATAATAGCCTTCTGCATCTCGTTTCCCTAGACCCTGGCCTATGGGGACATGAACCATGAGTGGATTGGGAATGAATGGCTGCCTAGCCTGGGGCTCCCGCAGTACCGCAGCTACTTCATGGAGTGCCTGGTGGACGCCCGCATGCTGGACCACCTCACCAAGAAGGACTTGCGGGTCCACCTGAAGATGGTGGACAGCTTCCATCGGTGAGTGCGGCTGGGCCACCTCCCTCGTGGGGGCCTCCCCTAGCTCTGAGGGTCTGCCTCCAGGAAGAGAGGTGCCTTCATCTCTTTCTGTGGCCTGTTCTGAATGGCAACAGGTCTCCCCCTTGGGAAAGTCTCCCTTGTCAAATCCTTGTCACATCCTGTAATTTGAGGATTTGATTCTCAAATTGACCAGGTTTCTGTCCTTATAATGACTAGGTCATTATGTCTAGTCCTAAAGACACAAAAAGTCATTTTTCTTTACCTTCACCTCTTTTGAGATTTTCCCCCAGGTCTGAATTTTATTGCTTGTCTTTGCACTTGCTGAATTTGCTGTGTTAACTCTCACAAGACTCAAACTGAACCTAGTGTTCAATTTAGGTGTCTCATTCCAAGTTGAGGGGGAAGATCTTCCTGGGCCATTGCCCTGCTGACATCCCAGATCGGAACCTCTCTCCTTTGGGCTCACATCCTTTTTTATAGGATGTCATCCAGTCCTCTCCTCCTCTTTGCTGAAAAGATCTTCTGTTCAAAAGTGTCTGCGGCACAGGTCCCAAACTGGCAGCCCGTGGGCAGAATTTGGCCCACAGACTTGTTTTTGTTTGGCCCACATATATCTTAACAACTCAAATTGAGCTGCCAGTATTTAAACAGTAGATTTTATATACAATTCTGGATTTCTGGTTTCTCTTGAAAACTTGAAAGCTCTGTCAACACATTCTAGCATGGAAGCAACCAGCTGGAGTTAAAGAGTGGAGTCCACTCAGGATGGGTGGGCCTGCTCCAGGGCCTCCCAGCCCCCTAGCCTCTTCTCTCACTTGTGTTACCTGCTTGGTCCCAGCAGGCATTTGTGTTGGAGAATGCAGTTGGTGGCCATGGTGCTAGGAGTTGGCAGTTTTTAGGAAGTCCTTCTTAACATCCAGCTTCAAGTTGTATGGGTGGCTCTTTGAGCCAAGACTTGTCGTGGCTGGATAGTAAGACCAGGAATAGGGCTCTTCAAGGTTCTTTCAGGGCTCTGTGGATGTCCTGTGGTCTCTCCAACTCAGAAATCTTACAGAAAGTTAAATCTGGAAGGGATCTTGTTAGCGTGCCTGTTTTGTGGATGAGAACATTAAGGCATGGGGAAGAGCAGTAACCCAGGTCACTCAGGGATGATAGCAGAGTACGGGGGAACCCAGGTATGCTGACTCAAGTCCAGTGCTCTTGGCACCACTCTGCACAGAGCCTCCTGGCTTGGAACCCTTGGCCCATCTGACCCCAGCATGAGGGCTGACTTGTGAGGGAAGACTGCATCCTCCCCTCTGCATCCGCCCCCACCCAAATCAGCTAGGGCTGAAAGGGAATCGTTTGTCTCTGCCTGGAGGCTGCCAGACCCAGCTGCACCTGTCCCCTTCTCAGTGATTGATAGGGCTGGGGAGAGATGAGCCGTTCCCCTGCCAAGCCGGGATGTGTCTGGGCTGCTAGAGGATCTGTCAGCCCGGCCCCAGCCAGGACTGTGGAAATCCTCCCCCCAGCCCCTCTGCCCCATCCCCAGGAGAGAACTGTGGCCTGAACGTGGGGTTCTAGGTTCAGCTCCGAATCTTGAGTACTTCAGAGTTTCTAAAGCATTTTCACATCTCACCACCAAACTACGTGTCTACCTGCTTTTATTCCATGTAACATTTCACAAGCATGTTCTTACGTCTTTAAAATTTCTTTTAAATCATAATTATTATAAGAAAGGGATATTTTAAAACCTTATTTTACAGATGAGAAAAACAAGTTCAATAGAGGTTGATTTCCATCAGGTCACCCAGCCAGGTGATTACAGAATGGGGCTCAAATCCTTGTCTCTTGACACCCCACTCAGAGCTCTTTTCCTTGGGACATGGTGCTCTATCGAGCAGGTCTTCTAGAAGAGCTCCTGTTTTGGTAGGACAAGCATGCACGATAGTTATAAATGTCACCCTAATAGTGCTGCCACTACCGAGTGCCTGTAATGTTCCCAAAGGCTGGGCTAAGCCCTTGCATTTATTGTCACCTGCAAGACAGGTGTGACCCCATCTCACATTTGCTGGGTGCCTCTCAGCTAGGAAGGGGCAGAGCTGGCATCCAAACCCAGGTTGACTTAACTTTAAGGACTTTATATTTTTGCCATGGTATGCAGCAGCTTTGAAAGGAACTGGACTGGGCCGGGCGCGGTGGCTCAAGCCTGTAATCCCAGCACTTTGGGAGGCTGAGATGGGCGGATCACGAGGTCAGGAGATCGAGACCATCCTGGCTAACATGTTGAAACCCCGTCTCTACTAAAAAAAATACAAAAACCTAGCCAGGCGAGGTGACGCGCGCCAGTAGTCCCAGCTACTCCGGAGGCTGAGGCAGAAGAATGGCGTAAGCCCGGGAGGCGGTGCTTGCAGTGAGCTGAGATCCGGCCACTGCACTCCAGCCTGGGCGACAGAGCCAGACTCCGTCTCAAAAAAAAAGAAAAAAAAAAGAAAGGAACAGGACTGGAAATTATAGTGAGTGAGATTGAAACTAGACAGAAGGCATTTCCAGTCATGAGCTGTGTGTGCGCATGCCCGTTCACAGTGGACCAAGGCTTAAACCAGCGGCTTGAGCAACACATGGGCGACTTGGGCCAGAAAAGGGTTCCTGGAAGTGGCGTCTCTGAGCTCTGTTGTAGGCAGAAGAGCCTCCTGCTGGGAAGTGAGGGGAGAAAAGGAGGGAGCAGGCTGCACAATTTAATCTCACAAAGCAGCGCCCTCAGTAAGAGTCAAAAGCAGGCAGAGTTGGGAGGGACTTTCCATTCTAATTCTGTAAAGATGGAAAAACTCAGAGAAGCTGAATGACAAAGTAGCGTTCACGGAAGGAAGAACACTATAGCTCTTCCAAGAGGGAATGAGCTGCCTTGGGAAGTAATGAGTTCACTGCCCCTGGAGGCGCTCAGGTACAGGCTCAGTGACTACTCTGAAGGAAGCTACAGGGGTGACTCCTGCCTTAGGTGGGAGCATGGACCGATGGCCTCCAGGGTTCCTTCTGACCCACAGAATCTGTGGTTCTGTGTCTGGCTTAGTTACTGAATGCTTGCCCTGCACCTGATACTTTTCGGGTCCACCTGAAGATGGTGGACAGCTTCCATCGGTGAGTGCGGCTGGGCCACCTCCCTCGTGGGGGCCTCCCCTAGCTCTGAGGGTCTGCCTCCAGGAAGAGAGGTGCCTTCATCTCTTTCTGTGGCCTGTTCTGAATGGCAACAGGTCTCCCCCTTGGGAAAGTCTCCCTTGTCAAATCCTTGTCACATCCTGTAATTTGAGGATTTGATTCTCAAATTGACCAGGTTTCTGTCCTTATAATGACTAGGTCATTATGTCTAGTCCTAAAGACACAAAAAGTCATTTTTCTTTACCTTCACCTCTTTTGAGATTTTCCCCCAGGTCTGAATTTTATTGCTTGTCTTTGCACTTGCTGAATTTGCTGTGTTAACTCTCACAAGACTCAAACTGAACCTAGTGTTCAATTTAGGTGTCTCATTCCAAGTTGAGGGGGAAGATCTTCCTGGGCCATTGCCCTGCTGACATCCCAGATCGGAACCTCTCTCCTTTGGGCTCACATCCTTTTTTATAGGCTGTCATCCAGTCCTCTCCTCCTCTTTGCTGAAAAGATCTTCTGTTCAAAAGTGTCTGCGGCACAGGTCCCAAACTGGCAGCCCGTGGGCAGAATTTGGCCCACAGACTTGTTTTTGTTTGGCCCACATATATCTTAACAACTCAAATTGAGCTGCCAGTATTTAAACAGTAGATTTTATATACAATTCTGGATTTCTGGTTTCTCTTGAAAACTTGAAAGCTCTGTCAACACATTCTAGCATGGAAGCAACCAGCTGGAGTTAAAGAGTGGAGTCCACTCAGGATGGGTGGGCCTGCTCCAGGGCCTCCCAGCCCCCTAGCCTCTTCTCTCACTTGTGTTACCTGCTTGGTCCCAGCAGGCATTTGTGTTGGAGAATGCAGTTGGTGGCCATGGTGCTAGGAGTTGGCAGTTTTTAGGAAGTCCTTCTTAACATCCAGCTTCAAGTTGTATGGGTGGCTCTTTGAGCCAAGACTTGTCGTGGCTGGATAGTAAGACCAGGAATAGGGCTCTTCAAGGTTCTTTCAGGGCTCTGTGGATGTCCTGTGGTCTCTCCAACTCAGAAATCTTATAGAAAGTTAAATCTGGAAGGGATCTTGTTAGCGTGCCTGTTTTGTGGATGAGAACATTAAGGCATGGGGAAGAGCAGTAACCCAGGTCACTCAGGGATGATAGCAGAGTACGGGGGAACCCAGGTATGCTGACTCAAGTCCAGTGCTCTTGGCACCACTCTGCACAGAGCCTCCTGGCTTGGAACCCTTGGCCCATCTGACCCCAGCATGAGGGCTGACTTGTGAGGGAAGACTGCATCCTCCCCTCTGCATCCGCCCCCACCCAAATCAGCTAGGGCTGAAAGGGAATCGTTTGTCTCTGCCTGGAGGCTGCCAGACCCAGCTGCACCTGTCCCCTTCTCAGTGATTGATAGGGCTGGGGAGAGATGAGCCGTTCCCCTGCCAAGCCGGGATGTGTCTGGGCTGCTAGAGGATCTGTCAGCCCGGCCCCAGCCAGGACTGTGGAAATCCTCCCCCCAGCCCCTCTGCCCCATCCCCAGGAGAGAACTGTGGCCTGAACGTGGGGTTCTAGGTTCAGCTCCGAATCTTGAGTACTTCAGAGTTTCTAAAGCATTTTCACATCTCACCACCAAACTACGTGTCTACCTGCTTTTATTCCATGTAACATTTCACAAGCATGTTCTTACGTCTTTAAAATTTCTTTTAAATCATAATTATTATAAGAAAGGGATATTTTAAAACCTTATTTTACAGATGAGAAAAACAAGTTCAATAGAGGTTGATTTCCATCAGGTCACCCAGCCAGGTGATTACAGAATGGGGCTCAAATCCTTGTCTCTTGACACCCCACTCAGAGCTCTTTTCCTTGGGACATGGTGCTCTATCGAGCAGGTCTTCTAGAAGAGCTCCTGTTTTGGTAGGACAAGCATGCACGATAGTTATAAATGTCACCCTAATAGTGCTGCCACTACCGAGTGCCTGTAATGTTCCCAAAGGCTGGGCTAAGCCCTTGCATTTATTGTCACCTGCAAGACAGGTGTGACCCCATCTCACATTTGCTGGGTGCCTCTCAGCTAGGAAGGGGCAGAGCTGGCATCCAAACCCAGGTTGACTTAACTTTAAGGACTTTATATTTTTGCCATGGTATGCAGCAGCTTTGAAAGGAACTGGACTGGGCCGGGCGCGGTGGCTCAAGCCTGTAATCCCAGCACTTTGGGAGGCTGAGATGGGCGGATCACGAGGTCAGGAGATCGAGACCATCCTGGCTAACATGTTGAAACCCCGTCTCTACTAAAAAAAATACAAAAACCTAGCCAGGCGAGGTGACGCGCGCCAGTAGTCCCAGCTACTCCGGAGGCTGAGGCAGAAGAATGGCGTAAGCCCGGGAGGCGGTGCTTGCAGTGAGCTGAGATCCGGCCACTGCACTCCAGCCTGGGCGACAGAGCCAGACTCCGTCTCAAAAAAAAAGAAAAAAAAAAGAAAGGAACAGGACTGGAAATTATAGTGAGTGAGATTGAAACTAGACAGAAGGCATTTCCAGTCATGAGCTGTGTGTGCGCATGCCCGTTCACAGTGGACCAAGGCTTAAACCAGCGGCTTGAGCAACACATGGGCGACTTGGGCCAGAAAAGGGTTCCTGGAAGTGGCGTCTCTGAGCTCTGTTGTAGGCAGAAGAGCCTCCTGCTGGGAAGTGAGGGGAGAAAAGGAGGGAGCAGGCTGCACAATTTAATCTCACAAAGCAGCGCCCTCAGTAAGAGTCAAAAGCAGGCAGAGTTGGGAGGGACTTTCCATTCTAATTCTGTAAAGATGGAAAAACTCAGAGAAGCTGAATGACAAAGTAGCGTTCACGGAAGGAAGAACACTATAGCTCTTCCAAGAGGGAATGAGCTGCCTTGGGAAGTAATGAGTTCACTGCCCCTGGAGGCGCTCAGGTACAGGCTCAGTGACTACTCTGAAGGAAGCTACAGGGGTGACTCCTGCCTTAGGTGGGAGCATGGACCGATGGCCTCCAGGGTTCCTTCTGACCCACAGAATCTGTGGTTCTGTGTCTGGCTTAGTTACTGAATGCTTGCCTTGCACCTGATACTGTTTAAGTGCTTTTAGTAATTTGTGTGAATTAATTATTTCATTTAATTAATCAAGCATTTGTAGAGTACCTGCTCTGCGCTAGGGGTTTAGGATCAGTGAACAAAACAAAGACCCCTGCCCTCATAGAGCTTATATTCTAACTGGAAGAGACAGTCAAGGAATAATAAATATATGGTATGTTAATAGACAAAACATGCTAGGAAAAAATTAGACCAGGGTGAGAGGGATTGGGAGTATGGGCCAGGGGTGGTGATGGTGATACTGCAATTTTAAATCTGATGAACAGTGTGACTAGTGAATTGGACTGAGAAGGTGACATTTAAGCAAAGACTTAATGGAGACAAAAGGAGTAAGCTACACAGCCGACTGGGGGAGGAGTGTTCCAGGCAGAGTCAGCCACCAGTGCAAAGGCCCTGAGGCCTGCAGGCCCAGTGAGCCTGCTGTGTTTGAGGAGCAGCAGGGGTGTCAGTGTGGCTGCAGCAGAGAGAGCAAGAGGGAGAGTGGCCGAAGGGGCTGTGAGACAGGTGGCGGAGCAGATCATGGAGTATCTTATAGGCCGTTGTAAGGACTCTGAGTGAAGTAGGGATACAAAGGGGTATCTTGTTTTTGCTTTTTCTTTCACTTGCAGGTGGTAGGGGTCTTTGCATTCCAGTGCCTGGGGAGAAGGACATGTTGGTTTCATTCAAAGAACTTTTTTCCCATCAATCCAGGCCCGCTTCCTGACTGAGAGGGAGGATATGGGTTAGACAGAGAAAGGGAGTAACCCTGGGATGGTTCGCAGGCAAGCCCCTGGGGAAGGAGGAGCATGGGGAGGCTGGGGTGCTCTTTGTGCTGGAGGCAGTAGGTCTGGACGTGCTGTAGCTAGTGCTGGATGTGAGACAGGTGGCGTGGGAGTGTGGCCCCACTGAGGCTCTGGCTCGGGGGCTGTGTGCTTACAGAACCAGTCTTCAGTATGGCATCATGTGTCTGAAGAGGCTGAATTATGACCGGAAGGAGCTGGAGAAGAGGCGAGAGGAGAGCCAGCACGAGATCAAGGGTAAGCTCGTCAGGCTTGGAGAGGGTGCAGGAGTAGCCTGCTTGGCTGGTCCCTGCCTTGGGCCAACTGGAGGGGAGGCATTCTGTCTCTCAGGGAATCTTCCAGTCTGACAAGGAAGATGCAGCCTCACCTTAGGGAGCTCCCAGTCTGATGGAGGAGACATGGTCCATGCCAAGTTGGCTATAATCCCCTCCCTCCACCCCACATACCAGACTGCAGCCACTAACTGGACAAATGCAATGAATCCTCTGGGACGGTGTTATAGACTGGTGTGCTTGTGGAACTTGGTGATCTGGATGGGGTTGGATGGGAGATGCAAATCTTAGAGAAGACCTTGAAGGTGGAAAGAATATGAAGACTATTCCAGCTTGTGGCAGGGGGATGGCCCGTGCAAGGGCTCTGGGGAGAAAGCTCAGAGCCTGTTGGCCTGACCCCAGGTCCTGTAAACTGGCAGGGATGAAATGAGTGGGGGGTTGGTTCCCCAGGAGTCCAGGTTCCAGGGAGGACAGAAAGAAGATACAGAAAGTTGGGGATGGGGTGGGGGCCAGAGAGCAGGGTGGACTGGGGCTCTGGGTTTAGGGAGTTCTGCTTCTGTCCTTGGAGGGTCCTTGATGAAGCGTAGTATCTTCTTCCATCCCTTTTCTTCCCCCACACTCCAGATGTGCTAGTCTGGACCAACGACCAGGTGGTTCATTGGGTTCAGTCTATTGGGCTCCGGGATTATGCCGGAAACCTGCATGAGAGTGGTGTGCATGGAGCCTTGCTGGCCCTGGACGAGAACTTCGACCACAACACACTGGCCCTGATCCTTCAGATCCCCACACAGAACACCCAGGTGGGTAGCCTTTTAATCAGTCAACCTTAGTCTCTCCCTGTCTCCCTTACTTGCTCTCTTTCTTTCCCTCATACACAAAGGCTTAGGTATCTTGGGGTTGGGGAGCTTTTCTAGGGCCTGTGCCAGAGGGGATTGCAATGTCCTCAATCCTCCTCTAAGTGGTCCCCTGTGCATAAGCAAGCCCTCATGGGAACACATGGTCTTCACATACAGGGCACACCTAGCACGGGCCTGGCACACAGTGTGCTCTTACAATGCACATCCCCATCCTGCCCTGGGTACCTCCATCTCCTCCTAACCCCACTTCATAGCTGAGACGCTGAGCCTTCCTTTTCATCCTGCTTCTCTGATCTGACTTTTCTTAGAGGGGAATGAGCCCCATGGCCCGTAGGGACCAGAGAGCCCATATCACCTTTGTCTACCACCCTAGGGATCTGCTCCTGGGCCCCCAGGCTTAAAAAAGCGAAATATACCAAATTACACAGCCCAGAGCCTCTCCATGCCTGGGCTTTGGCTCTCTGTCAACAGCTCAAATGATTAAACATCTCATGAAATTACGTTTCATCATTTTTATGGAGCTGTCATCTAAGAATATATCTAAATTTTCTTGAACCTATTTATATTTTTGGCCTTTCTAACTTCCTGTGGGTAATAGATTCTAGAAGTGCTGCTTGTTGTGTGGAGTACTTCCTGATTTTATTTGTCCTAAGAATGCCCCTGTCAGGCCCCTGGGGAAGGAACTACCTCCTCCTAATAGTTTAGGTTTGGTAAGGCTATTTGTATTTAACCAGTTCTCACCTTTTATAATTTCATAAACTCTGATTGTATTGCCTCTGGGCCCAAGCCTTTGTCTCTCCAGACAG